AAAAAAAAAAAAAAAACTCGCCTGAAGTTGAAAAAGTTTGTTCGTGTACGGTTTTTCTCCATTGTACTTCACAACATCATCAACTCGAGCAATAAGTTCCTCAACTTGGTCGAGCCTCTTCATCGGATCTTTGGTCCGGTTATCAAATAAAACACACCTATGTCCACATTTTTCGATAATTTCCTACGCATAATACCACATTAACTATACAAATGAACAACACACTGAAAGATTTACTACAGTAATTATGATTTACCTTCAAAGGTTCGGGACACTCACGACCCAAGTAATCCTCGAGAGTCTCTTCATTCTCCTCCAGGTCATCACCACCGGTAAAAACTAAAATCATGTAATCGGTAATTTTGTCACCGAAGATTTCAATCATGCTGTCGATTGCAGCCTTCTCCTCTCGCGAAAAACGCGACCTAACAGACAGGACAAACAGGACTGCATGAATCCCATTATTCGCCATGTCGATGCACTTCACGATTTCCTTCCCAACTTGATCTTCTCCACCCGAAAAATCGAACAATCCTTGGAGAAAAAAATTGAGTTGGTTAAAGTAAAACTAATCACAAGTTAGAAAAATGCAAGAGCCAATATTAGATTCTTTATATGCATAATACCAGGAGTGTCGATAACATTAAGTAGAGACCGATTTTCGAGCATGGTTGTCTGAAGGTCACATGTGGCAGTAACACTGCCAGAGCTAGTCTTGGATTTAAATGCCTTTCTCCCCAATAAGCTATTTCCAGTCGAGCTTTTTCCGTTACCGGTTTTTCCTACTAAAACGATTGTTCGAGGCTCATTTGGAGGTGTTGGGAATTGCCAGTCTAAGCAAATTGCATTATCTCCTCCCATTTTTTCAAACTAAAAAATGTGGAATATATAGCACTAATTAGCCTCGAAATATTATTTTCATATCAAACAAAAGTGTAGTGCAATAAAAAAATGTGACAGTTAAACAAAAAATACAGATATAAATTGCAGAATAACTAATCATCAGTATGAGATGTAACATAAGCATCAAAATACATACACATAAAAAACAAGAAAACAGATTGGCAATACCTACTTGAATATGATGATGTTGCAGCCCTTCTAAACAGAGGAATTATTACTGTTCAAGCAAGTTAGTTTATTTCAGTGGAATATGAAATCAAGGTATATTTTTATTAAACAACAATTAATGATACTAAGGGACTGAATCTGAGAGTGAGTTTTTATAGTGGAATGTGAAATGATTAAGGTTGTTTTTTCTTTTAATAATTTTGTTAAACAACATTAATGATGATACTAAGGACTGAAGTTGAAGAGATGCTGATAATTAAAGATGACTAGTTTCTTGAGAATACCAATAGATGTTATAATGATGACTGATTTACATCATCATATACAATTGTTGATTATTACAATATTAAAATATGGATATCTTTGGACTTTTCATTTAATCTTTTGTTTGTTTTACAAGGTTCATTCAAGTGTTCATCACAAGCTTAAGTAGAAATTGGGTTATTTGAAAGAGTTGATTTTGACAAAGAAGACAATACAAACTGAAGACCTTACCCTTGTTTTAATAGTGTCTACTCACAAAACCTCGTTCGAGCTTGAAGAAGGCCACTATTCATTTAGTAATCGAGCTAAACTCGAATGAAAATTTATAAGCTCATTTTGTTAATCTTTGTCGGATAGTCCTTCACTTCCAGAGATTGAAAATACCAGAATTTCAACTATCCTTTTTCACAAAATTTGTGAGGTACAAATTATTAAACAAGGGGAATGAAATGACCAACCATTCTTACTAGGGATGGCAATGGG